TAATGATTTCATAAATTGTACAGGATTAAAATACCCACGTAAGATAAATCATATTGGGATGCTATAAAATACGGTTATGGAAGTATAGTATCGCCTCTAGGTGGATAAATCTAATTACTCCAGATGTCCCTGATGAGACATGAGCCCTAGGGGCAGTATTACATAAGAGATCAAGTTATCAGTGGTAGATAATAGATCAACATTAAGGTGAATCAACAGTAGATGGACAAAAGTCACAAAGTATGAGGTGAGATTAGGCCATCATTCTTAAGATGAACAAGTAATAAGGAAGCATTAAAGGACTTAGATTTATACATATGGGATAAGTAATGAAAGTAACTCGGAGTTCGGTAGCAGACCTCAGTAACGATAAATCGAAGTAAGAGTTATGGTATAGTATGACGAATAGATAAACGGATCTATGAAATAAGGTATAACAATATTCGTAAGTTCGACAAAGTGCCGAGCGAAGAACTTCAGTATACCTACAGATGCCCAGAGGGACATTTTATCAAGCTCTGTATATGTTTGCAAAGTGAGGCCTAGAGATTGGCTAAAAGATGGAGGAAATAGGAGAAAAGAGTTGCATAAGCGCACATACAAGAAAAAAGTCATACATGCTGCATGACAGAAGGTAGCAAGAGTCACGAGATTGGTGCGAGAAAGAGGCCTAAAGGGGGGAATACCCTGGCCTTTGGATTTATTCACAAAACAGTTGCCTAGATGGCAAGGAGAGTATTAAAGTATTCGAAAGACATAGGTTATAAAAATGATAAGTGCATCAGTCAACATTCGAGGACGAATGTTCCAAAGGGGGAAATAATGTTACACCCCATGTTTTCATATGTGGGAGTACACCATGAGTAAATTGATATAAGCTCGAAAATGAGATGTTACATTCCGTATTTTTGTATGTTAAGGTTTCGTCGTAAGTTAATCGACGTAAGTTCGGGAATGAGATTTATTTTAGGATTATAAGCATTATGCTATTTCAAACAAGTGATGAGTAAATTCGTGAAGGTGAGAGGGAGGCAAGTCAAAGAAAATAAATTTTCGTTCAAGTTTGACATATTGGGATAAAATACGGCACGAGCTAAAATCTCAGTATTTATGGACTAGTACCATACAAGGTACCACGTGACCATAATAGTAAGGTGTATAAGGTATGTGAGAAGTGAGTAGTATTTTAAGTAAGTTGAGGTAATTATTAATTATGTGGACAATCAGGTAATTATTGAATTTAGAGAAAGATTACCAATTAATTAAGGTGATTGGTGGTTAATAGTTGGGAATGGATAAGCATTATGTGGCAGCCCAAGTTTGTCTTGATCAAGCCAAGAAATGACTCTTAAGTCTTGTAAAAAGATGTCACATTTTAATGAGAATTTTGTGACTAAGCCTTATTAGGTGGGGCCCACATCATTATAAAAAGGGACCTTTCTAAGGTCATTCATTCATTTCTAGGAATGTTTCATACGGATCTTCTATGGAATAAGCTTCACTTTCTAAGGTCATTCATTCCTTTTTAGGAAAGTTGCATACGGATATGCTATGGAATAAATTAGCTTCAACAAAATTTCACATGATGTTATACTACGTAATAGCAACAGGATTTTGCAATTCTAAAGGAGTACGGTATAATTTTTCTCAAGAGAATCGACTCAGGTATGTTAAGGCTATCCCTTCTTTCTCTTGGCATGATCCATACATTATAAAAAACGAGCAAATGCACAACTCCCATAAATGACTCTATTCATAGAAATAATAGAGATGCTTATGTTCTCGATTTCCCATGTATTATATTATTATTATTATTATTATTATTATTATTATTATTATTATTATTATTATTATTATTATTATTATTATTATTATTATTATTATTATTATATCTTCTTTTCATTGGTTTAAAAAAAATACGTATTTGATAAAGTTTATCCGAAAGGCATATGGATTTTTATGTCATTCCGAGAAAATTTTATTAACGTATTTCTTATGCATTTCATGAATTTATACATGTCCATTGACCCATGACCAGATGGCGTTATATACGCATATATATGTATATTATATTTATATGGGATATGGAAAAAGGTTACGGCGTTATATATGCACCACCACTTGATCAACTGGTATACGTTGATAATTTTTCCCATAGTGGCCGAGATGATATGATGGAATGCCCTCAGAGGCTTGATGATGTTATGAACACATGTACCTATGCACGACATGATATTTATATGCAAATGCATGACACTATAAGTATTTCATGATTTATAGAGTTATCCAGACTTACAGGCTGAGCCATTTACTCTATATTTCTTTCATGTCTGTTATGTACTTATTTATGTGCCTTACAGACTCGGTACATTATTTATATTGACGTCCCTTTTGCCTGGGGATGCTGCGTTTCATGCCCGCAGGTCCCGATATCTTGGTCGAGAGCCCTCCAAGTAGGCTAGCAGCTCAGCGGAAGATGTTGATGTGCTTCATTTGCTTCGGAGTTGCTTATTTGGTTAGTATGATTTAGACGTGTATTGTTTGGTATGGCGGGACTCTGTCCCGACCTTTATGAAAATTATGTATTCTTAAAGGCTTGTAGACATATGTCATGTACGTAAAAGATTGTATGGCCTTGTCAGTCTATGTTCAGTATACGAGTGGTTATTTGGTCTTATAGGGCCGTATGTCTTATGCTTAAGTTGGTATCACATCTTGTATTCTACTTATCTCACGGCAGCCTTCTGGCTCAGTATCTATGATAGTATGACATGAATAGATACATTATGTTGGTACTCGGGTGAGTAAGGTACCGGGTGCCCGTCACGTCCCATCGGTTTGGGTCTTGACAACTATATTACTGCCAGAATTAGATATTCCCCTCAGCATGTTTCCCCTTCCCGTTATGTTTTGTTAAATTTTTGTTATTATTACTTTCTCGTATATGATTTAACTACACAAGTTTATATTGTTGTCGTGTCTTAGCCTCATTACTACTTCGCCGAGGTTAGGCTCGACACTTACCAGTACATGGGGTCGATTGTACTAATACTGTACTCTGCACTTTCTGTGCAGATTTCGATGTCGGACCTCGTGAGTAAAGTTTGGGTTGCTGGCTTCAGTCCACAGGATACCTAAGGTAGATTTGCTGGTGTTCGCATAACCTGGAGTCCCCTTCTTCCCCGTTTTTTGGATTTTCTGTCTCTTTCTATTTTGAAAACATATGTATTTCTTTCAAACCTATATTTATAGAATTTTTAGACATTCGTGGATTATGACACCAGATCATTGGGGTAGTCATGTATTAGAGTTGTTGAACTGTTATAGCACTTCCGCACTTTATCTCTGTTTGGCTTTAGCTATTATTTATTTTTATTTTGGTTAATAATTAATGTAATAAAAACTTTATTTATCGTCTTGCCTAGCTTTCAAGAGTAGGCGTCATCACGATCCCAATGGTGGAAAATCCGAGTCGTGACATTATTGGACTGTCTTCTTCAAGTGTGAAGTCAGGGGTCCATCTGCTTAACCGCATAGGCTGACCTTCAATTTCAATTACATGCTTAAAATACACAGCTTTGAAGTCTTCTTCATTGTAGACGTCAATAAACACATTCTTGTTGTCATATAACCATATTTTAATCAAACCCTTGATTGGAATAGTTTCTTTGACAGCTGCTCGGATGGTTTCGATTTAGAGTCGGGTCTTCAATAATCTCCCATTGATGGTGTATTTGCATTCTTAATCCATTATGCCATAATAATCTTCAGCGTCGAATATCACCACCGGCATCCTATTATGGGTTGTAATTTCAGTTTTCAGAATTTCTCGCTGACGGGCGGAGCTAAGTTGCGATCCAGCCACAACGCTGAAGTAATTGTTTTTGGGTAGAATTATGTCAAGGGAATTCATTGCTATACCTGAAGGATCAGGTGGCTAGCTTGGACGCGCCGGTATTAGGCCGGCCGTCCTCTCCATGAGGTGGAACGTGGGTATCAGTCGAAGTAATTTGAGAGTAGAATATTTCGGTTAGAGATAGAAAGGGAAAGAGCCATTTTTTTAATTCTAAAAGACTCAAAAACTCAAGAACTACATTCCGACAAGATGGTTGATTGCAACAATTTGAATTTCAACAAACATCATAACATTCCAAAAATACGAGAGACAATTCAATCTATTTGAGTTTTTGTGTTCTCTGGTGCAGACGCTAGAAAATCCAAAATACCAACCTAATTCTAACTAGGATGACTCCATAAATTTAGTGGTTTAAAGTCAAATTTTGATAAGAAGCCTTATACTTTTTTATGTTAGGATTCATAGATGTATACACATACATATACAAAAAAAAAATTAGTGTTGCTGTTTTTTCATACTTATTGTTTAAGTATAATATTCTTAAATGATATAAAGCGTTTAACTTCACATAATAATATTATTAAGGAGTATTTAAATAAATAATATGTTAGACATGTATTTACCATCTATTTCCTTTGATATTGTTGTAAAAAATTGCATTTATTAATATAAAGATTTGAGTAGTTTTATTCAAGTTCTAAAATATTTTTACTGTTAAAGAGTAGACAGACTTTCTTCCTTTCTTTCTTTATGTATTACAAATTTTGTGTATTTTTTATTTTTCTGCGAATTTTAATATTGTCTAAACTAAAATAAAATCATAAAATTCACTTTTAATTTTTTTGGGCTTTATAGTTTAAAGTTAAAATTGAGTTACCAAAATGTCCATCAAAATCTAAAAGTCCATTTTATCCTTACTAAATACTACTCTTATAATATTTTTGATATCAAATAAACAATCTTACCTAAAATTGAGAGTTGAAAGTGTGTCTTTAACTTTAATGTACAATGTATATGTAAATGAAAATATTTGGTGAATGAATTTTTTTTTTATTAAAGACTTAATCTTATTCACTTTTCTTATCAATACTCTTTGAATAGAAAAAAGTAAATGTAGTATATTCGGACCAAATCAAAGTTCTGTGCCCTAGTTTTTATATGTTATATCCATTTACTCATGAAAAATGAAAATAATGTAACCACGTCTGAAACCGACCCTAACGCCCTTACCTTTACTCAAACTGAACTTGTTTTACCTCTATCTCATCCATTCTATCTTCATCCTTCTGATAATCCTGGTACTATTATCGTGACCAAACAATTTAATGGGGACTATTTTGGAGCATGGAGAAAAGGCATTATTATTGCCTTGGGGGCACAGAAGAAGTTAGGATTCATTAATGGGAGTTATGTTCAGATTCTCTTTTATTTGAACAGTGGGAACAATGCAATAACATGATCAATAGCTGGATCCATAATTCTTTAGACCCGTATATTTCACAGAGTGTCATATGTTCCAAGTCTGCTAATAGTCCATGGGATGAATTGAAGTAGAAGTATGGGCAAGAAAATGGTGCTAGGATGTATGAAGTCCTTTACCAAATGGTGCTAGGATTTATGAAGTTCAAAAGGACTTGAGTTCTATATCTAAAGGTTCTCCTAATGTGGGTGGTTATTTCAATAAGGTAAACAAACTCTGGGATGAAATGGAGTCTTTTGAAGCTAACTCTTTTTTTGTATGTGAATATAAATATGGAGGTAAACACAAAATGATTATAAAGATGAAAAATCAGAAATTGATGCAATTTTTGATGGGTTTGAATTAGGTATTCAACAAAGCTAGAGGAAATATTATGATGATACAACCACTTCCTGAAGTTAGCAAGGCTTATTCTCTAGTTGTTCAAGATGAGAAGCAGAGAGGGATTCATAATGTAACTGATTTTCAGTATAACTTTGAAACCTTTTCTGCTGGATCTAATCGTCCCACTTATAATCCAAAACCACCTCAAACCACCAATTTTACACAGAAATATACTTTTAACAATCCAAATCCTAACAATCAGGGTTTCAACAATCAAAAGGGAGGCTATGATCCAAAAGGCTCTATTGCAAATATTGTAAAAAGAGTGGACATGTAATTGAGAAGTGCTACAGGTTGCATAGGTTTCCACAACCTTATAAATCAGGGAACAAGAATGTCCGAGTTGCTGCACCTGTTCATACTTCTCATGATTCTAAGCCTGATCATTCTCTTGAGAAATGAATATTGCAAATACCATCACACCTAATTAGTACAGGAAACTTATGAATATCCTTCAACATGTTCAAGTTGGTCCTGATGATTCTCAAAGTCACTCTGCCACAACTAACTTTGCAAGTATATTTGCTTTCTCTTCTTATCTGATGAGTTGTGGTACTTGTACTTGTTTAAGTAGAGTTCTAACTCCTGAAACCTGGATTCTAGAGTATCAGATCATATGAACTTTAACAAATTTTTGTATACAAATATAACAACGCTACATGTTCCCTATCTTATTACATTACCCAATGGGTATAAAGTAAAAGTGATCTCAATTGGTTCTGTCCAATTAAATCCTTCAGCCGCTGTATCCAAGGTTTATATGTGCCTACTTTTAAATACAATCTTATTTCAGTTCACAAGTTATTAGTTAATACTTCATCACTGATGTTTTTTCACAATATGTTTGTTTTCTATAGGGCTCTTCTTTGAAGATGCCATTGGTACCTAGTAAGATGACTAAAGGGCTCTATCTGTACAACTCAAGATCACAATCTCCAGTCACACATTCTAGACCTCCATCAACTTGTCCTTCCACTCGTTTAATTCCTTTTCTATTCATGCAAATGCATTAAATGTAAATAAGTCCCAACTTCTATGTCATAATAGGTTGGGACACCTTACTGTTTTAAAATTACAAAAAATAAACTCTTTGAATGTACCATTTTCTGATAAATAGTCTTTCATTTTTTATATATGTCCATTTGCTAGACAACAAAGAAATCTTTTTACTGAGAGTAATTCTCATTCTTCCCATTTATTTGATCTTATTCATGCGGATGTTTGGGGACCGTATCACACTGCTACACAGAGATCTTATAGATATTTTCTCACAATTGTGGATGATTGTAGTAGAAACACTTGGACACACCTTCTAAGTCACAAGGGCAATGCTCTATCCATTATAAAGTCATTCTTCTCCATGGTTGAAACTCACTTCAACACCAAAATTAAAACTATTCGAATAGACAATGCTTTGGAACTTGGTACCAGTTATGAATCTATTCAATTTTTTTGTCCAAAGGCATTTTATACCAAACCTCTTGTCCTTATATACCCCAAAAAAATGGAATAGTTGAAAAAAAACATAAATATTTGCTAGAAATAGCAAGAGCTTTGCTTTTCCAATCCAAACTCTCAATTATAATTTAGGGAAATTGCATTTTAACTGCCACCTACTTGATTAACAGATTTCCTAGTACCATCTTATTAGGCAAGACTCCTTATGAGGTTTTAATTGGGGAACAACCTTCTTACAGTCATCTAAGAAGCTTTGGGTGTTTGTGTCATGCAATGATCCCTAACCACATAGGAATAAGTTCTCTCCTAGGTCTAGCGCATGTGTTATGTTGGGATATACTCCTAGAAAAAAAGGCCTATAAACTCCTACAACTTTCTGATTAGAAAATAATTTTTTCAAGGGATGTTGTTTTTTATGAAAGCATTTTTCTCTTCTCAGATGCTCCTTCTTCCAATGTTTTGTTCCATTCTACACATATCTTTTCTGATTCGACTCAGTCACCTTCATCTATTACTTCTGTACCTATAGAGCATTGTCCTGTTTCTTCCTCTCCATCCATCCCCCCTTCTGTTCCGTCTCACAGCACTCCAGTTCTTCTTTTCCACCTTCTAAACAAGTTCCTTCACCTTCCTCACCTGATATACTTTCTTCCTCACTTCCTCTCACTTTAAGATATCCTTCCAGAACTCACAATCCTCCTCCTTACTTATCAGATTATTTTTGTGGTGTTCTTCCTCCTGCAATTCTAACTTCTATACTTGTTTTCCCTACTTTTATATGCTTCAGTAGTCTAAGTTCAATCAATTAGAATTTACTTCACAATTTGGACATCGTACATGAATCATCCAGTTTTCATCAGGTAGTGTTGCATCCTGCCTGGAAGGCTGCGATGTTGAAGGAATTTGAGGCTCTTTAACTTAATATAACCTAGGATATAGTTCCTCTCCCTATGGTAAAGAAGCCAATTGGTAATAAATGAGTTTATAAGATCAAACATAATGTTGATGGTAGTATAGAGAGATTTAAAGCTAGGTTAGTCGTAAGGGTGATACTCAACTAGAGGGGATTGATTAAAATAAAACCTTTTCTCCCGTAGTAAAAATGACCAACATTAGAACAATTATAGTTGTGACAGTCAAAAAGGATTGGACTATGTTCCAATTGGATATTTATAATGCCTTCTTATACTGGGATCTAGATAAAGAGGTGTACATGAAGATATACCAGGGCCTGACTGTTTCTGGACCCAACATGGTTTGTAAGTTGAACAAATTCTTGTATGGCCTAAAGCAAGCTTCGAGGCAATTGTATTCAAAATTAAGTGATTCTCTTCTTTCTAACAGTTACTCAGTTTCTAAGAATGATTACTCTCTGTTTGTCAAGTCCACTGACTCTCATATTACAATTGCTGCTATTTATGTTGATGATATTCTCTTGAGCGGAAATGATGATGAGGAGATGACTTCTTTCAAGCTGTTTCTGGATGATCAATTTAAGATAAAAGATTTAGGGCATTTACATTATTTTCTAGCTTCACCACTACTCATTGCTATGGGTTATATGCACAACGCGTGTGAGTTTAATTTTATGCACGAGGATAGATGGAATTTGATTAATCTAATCTCATTCTAAATTTTGTTCTACACTTGTGAAGAAAACTGTTAATGTTAGTCAAGATCCATGGCATTCTTGAGTCAAAATTTGAGGAGGTTATAGGACTAAAGAATCCTCAGGGTTCGCAGTGCATCATTGTAGAGAATCAAAATCTTCCAAATGTTTAGATAATCTCAATCAAAAACATGTTATACACTTGTGAAGAGAACTATTAATTAATGTTTGTCAAGATTTAGGGGTTCACGAGTTTAGTAATTAAGAATGTTTTCAAGATTAAACAATCCTAGTGATTCGTGTTTTACCACTACATCATGTAAATAATCAAAAGCTTCCATATGTTTATGTCATGTCCGTTACTGACTGAATTGCAAAGGCATATAAAATCTGAATGCATGAAATTTTCCATAGGAAGTATCTGCCTTGAATCACAAACTATCTGATTGGCGTATCTAACATCTTTTAAGTCCGAAAGTACAATTACAATTACTCAAGCTGAAAGCTTGCATACATTATTAAAGGATAAAAAAATAGAAATATACAAAGAGCAGAAATCATAGTATTATTGTTCGTTACGCGAGCATATGTTAGTATAATTTCGCTGTGTGATTCACAATTACAATTCATAAGTCATGCCGACCCTTAGCAGCCTACTCTGAGGAATTGCCATTACTTTCTCCCCTTGCCTGAAGTTCTTGCGCAAGAAATTATAAGCATTGTTGACGAAAAATTTCTTCACGAATGAAGAATCTTGTTTAGCCATCACTTCTGCTTCTCCCAGGAGATAGAACACACCTTGCTCCTTAGCTTTAGTCACAAACTGCATCTCTTCTTCTTCCGAATTCGGGGACACCATTTGTATTTGAGTCGAATCTACTTGTTGCTGCAGATCGTCCTCCATGTGGATCCTGGATGAGTTTTTCGATTGTAGTTGGTCAGATATTACTGGCTCAACTTCTCGGTCTGCACCTTGATGATCATGCGCTCCAAGAATATAACGTTCGTGTTGGATGAACTGGTTTAATTGTTCCACCAATTGGTTTTCGAAGTCCTCTGTATTCCCAAGTTGATCTTTGTACCCTAACCTAACAACACATCGAAACACCTTGTATTCTCTAGGCTCAACTTGTCGAAACAAGAAACGTTCTTGAAGTGCTACTTTACTAATAGGAATGGATTTGATTGACACCAGAACTATGATAGAGTGGACAGAAGGAATATTGGAGACGAAGTGAGGAAATATAGGGGGAATCCCCTGTACTAGTTCAGAGTAGAGTAATCCTATCCCTGGTACCCTTTTGATGTCTGGACTCTTGGCCAAGTCCCTAACGTAGTCGCTGGACACCTTGTTATTGAGCTCGAATTGGTATCGAAGTTTTTGAACATAGTGCCAAGTTCCCATCATGAGCACGAGCACGACTGAAAAGGCCAAGGGTAGATAACCACCTTGCACGAATTTTGTCAGCTGGGCGGATAGGTATGTAGATTCAATGGAAAGGTACACCACGTAGAATAGTGTAATCCACCAAATGCTGATTTTCCATATAACAAGCATTATTAATGTCACCATATGTGTAGTTATGATCTCAGCAATAACCACAGCTATACCATAAGCATGTCCCAATTTTTCTGTGGTTTTGAAGCTGAGAGTAACTAGAACACAAGCAACCATGAGGAAGTAATTGAGTTCAGGGATATAAACCTGACCCTCATATTTGGCCGATGTGTGCATTACTTTCACCCTAGGGAAACAACCTAGACTTTGGGCCTGAGCCACGATAGAAAAGGCTCCAGATATCATTGCTTGACTTGCAATGATGGCTGCAGCAACAGCGACTACAAACGTTGGCCAGTATAGTGGATCTGCAAGAAGCAGCACCATCAAATCAATTATGTATGGTGTTTGTTTTATCAGTAACTTGAGAAAATTTCAGAAAGCACTACAGTTTCATAGCTAATTACAATTCGCAGCTATTGTTTCAATATTTACCATTCGAAGCAAATCTTTCCTTGTCAGGCATCTGCATTCGCTATATTCATTCGCGTAACAAATACAGTCTGTATCAACTGTATTTATTCGCACTACTAATACAACATGTATCAACTGCATTTGTTCACACAACGAATACAACCAAGGAAAAATACACAAATACAAAGGTGTATACAATGATACAAACAGTAAAATACAAGGGGATGTATACATGGGCACATACCATAAAAATACATTCAAACATACATGGTGCAAAAAAAAAAGGAAAAAAAAGAGAAGAAAACCATACCTAAAAAAATACATACATGGTGCAAAATCAACGCGAAATACAGAAATCCAGAAAATACAGGGATTGGCCGGAAAATTATTCCCTCATACTAAAGAAAAATAAGTGGATTTACTATAAATTTAAATATAGCTACAAGTAATAATTTTCTGAAAGTATAGCTACAAATGGTAAATATAATGCATAAATTAGCTGCACCATGTATTTTCCCTTTATTCAATGGCATTACCCATTACTTCAAAACATACTACTCCCTCCTTTTCATATTAAACGAGTTACTTTTCTTTTTAGTTTGTTCCAAAACTAATGACACATTTCTAAATTTAGAAATAATTCAACTTTAAACTCTTTCATTTTACCCATTTACCATTAATGAGAAGCTTTTATAGCTACACAAATGTCATGACCCCACAAACTTTTTATCCCTTAAGCTTTTAAAACCACAAGTTTCAAAAGTCTTCTTCTTTTTTCTTAAACTCTGTCCCGAGTTAAACTACCTCATATAATATGAAACGGAGGGAGTATAGTTTATTTGTGGATTCAATTTACAGACTCTTTAACCAATTAAAGTAGGAACTAAATGTTTTTCAGTTTCCAGGTTACCGAGCAACACTTATTACAGAGGGTTACTTGCGGTTACCTTTTAATTAACCTGATTGTATAATATGCTATTATAGCATAGTCTATAAACTTAATACCATCAAAACGAGAAGAAAGTGTGGTGCCTGCAGGTTTCCAGAATGAGAAGATCAATGCGGAATAAAAGAAAAGATGTGGAGTAAATCTTGCACTGTTCTCTCTATTTCTCCGTGGTCAATTTTATTCAACTTGTACGAAAATTGAAAAACATTAACAAATTGTTACATTAAGGAGTATGAGATATGCACACAGAAGGAGGGAGGGGTGGGTGGGTTGGGACTTGGGGACTTGCCTGGAACGGAGTCATAGAAAGTATTCTCAACATTTTCAGGGAATTTTGAGAGATATGCAGCTTGTCCGCTGTAAGCAGAGAGCAAAGCTGGAAATACGAGGCAACTGAAGCTTATCTGCCATACATATATACACATGGCGAGTTCACTTTGATTGCTCATAAAAAAATAAGAGATGGAAAAAAAGAATGAAGACTTGACTTACTTGAACAGACCGCACACTAAAGTGACCCAAATCAGCAAACATAGCTTCGGATCCTGAATGGTTTCATAAAACAATCTTTCATAAAAACACAGACGAGAAGTAGTGAAAGTGAGGAGATGATAGAGAGTGAAGACAAAAGGATGATAATCTATCGAGTTTAACTTTTATAAACTGAGTGAATACATAATATACACAATCAGGTCCTTAAAAAAGTAATTGTGGGTTCTGTTTATACTAAATGTAGATTTGTAATATGAAAGTATGATAAGTAACATGCTATAATTAATTAAATATATATTGATAAAGTGGATAAAGCAAGAAGGAAGGAATTGAGCTTGAAGGCTTTCACAGAAACTAGACTTGGGTAAGACCAAATATTCGTTGCCCCATTGTATAGGTTTCCAATATTTGCGCCCCTAAATTACAAGCTCTCTTTGATGCTCCTACAACATTGCATGTTTGAAGAATTTCATTTCTACAAATCTTTCTATTACTCCTAATATAAGAGTTCTCGGTGCTTTTTCGCATGCTTGACCGCATCCCTTTTCTAAAGTTGTTAAATTTACTTTAGTTCCTTACGAATATAATATACTCCCTCTGTTTTAATTTAGATGACACATTTTCCTTATTAGTCCGTTCCAAAAAGAATGACATATTTCTACAATTGGAACTAATTCAACTTTAAAATCTTCATTTTACCCTTAATGAGAAGTTTTTATAACCACACAAATGTCATGGTCCCACAAGCTTTTACCCTTAAGTTTTTAAGACCACAAGTTTCAAAAGTCTTTCTTTTCATTTTTTTAAACTCCGTGCCGAGTCACACGATATAATCTAAATTGAAATGGAGGGAGTAAATAACATGGGTAGGGGGGGCGAAAGGTCAAGAAAACGGATGTGACTAAATAAAATTCTAACCTGTAATACAGAGGAAAACACCACCAAGAGAGATCCATCCTTTTCTACCATTTCTTTTGAAGTAGTCAACAATGTATTTGGGATTAAAGGCACGTAAGACGCTCACATCATACTTGAACAAGTTGTATAGACCGATACCACTTATGAATAAAAACCAAACGCAAATGGCTGGAGCAAATGAATATCCCACTTTGTCTGTACCAAAACGTTGAACACAGAAGAGAGCTACCAGAATTGCAATGGAAATACCCACAACCGCATCTACACGTATATCATTAAAAAAGATATATTAAGAGAAAATGAATTCATTAGCGTCCTTTTAATTTCTCTACGACTATATATAATCACCTTCGCCTAAAGGCTTTATCCCACTTACGGCTGAGAGAACTGCATGCAAAAAACCGCCATATTAGACCAGAATCCAACTTATATAAATTGACAGTGTAAATAAATTTTATACTTGCAATATATGTAACATAGAGTTTAGCTTATATACCTAGACGGTGTGAAGAAATTCTTACACTATATGGTCATCCAAATCATATATACAAGTAACCTCCATAAAAAAGTGAAATTTGAAATCTTGAAAATAAGGCACTTTATTACCTGCTACAACAGATAAATGTGATTGATAGTGTAAATGTTTTTTGCGTTATCAATGACCCTTAGTTAAACACTTTAAAATATCGTAGTGCTTATTTTCCAGATTACTAGTTCAGCGTATTATAGACAGTTGCTTATAGGTAACTCTTTTAGATATTTACTGTCAGTGTACAAAATTTAAACTGATTCAACAAAACTGCCCATACAATAGTTTGAAATGATAATCTAGGAGTAAAATGGAGAGTATATATAAATTTGATATTTAGAGACCTGAGATGCAAGGAGTGAGAACTCCATCTCCAATAACCATAGAAGTGCCGAGGATGGCGACGAAGACGAGCAAAAATTTTGCAAATTTACTCTTCTCCAACTTATGTCTGATCTTCTGAGCCCGTCTAAATTGATTGGATGGTATGTCCAGATTGTAATGGGAAAGTTCTCTGTCCTCTGGCTCCTGGTTTGGGATAAGACTCACTTTTGCATATCGACACATTAAGGAATACAACGCAAATGCTCCCCCTGCATGCCAACAAAAAGAACAACTTAACTAATCTTTCTGTTTTACTTTATAAAATCATAGTTCCTCCGTTCCAAAAAAATTATAAAGTTCGAATTTCAAAAGTTAAACTTTACCGCAAATTCGGACATAGAATATTTGAGCTTTTTAAAAATAAAATTTATATATTAGAAATTACATAAAAAGTACTAGAACTCGTAATAATTTATAACTCAAAATATTTAAAAGGCGTATGAAAAAGTCTAATTCAAATATTGAATAAACTAAACCAAACCACAAAAGATATAGGTTTTTTCAGTTTGATTCGGTTATTTATTTGGATCAAATTTTGGTTTCCGGTGAACATTTATAGATGAAGTAAATAAATAGTAGCAAGGGACATGTTATAACTTACCATCGCCATTGTCATTGGCCCACAAGACAATGAAAACATACTTAGTCATAGGTACGAGGATAATGGTATAAATGATAAGGGACAATACCCCAAGAATGTCATCCTTGTGTCCAATATTATCAGTGAAAGTACTTGCATAAACGTAAAGAGGGGAAGTCCCTATATCTCCGTAGATAACTCCTACCGACTGAAATGCTAAACTCAATATTGTCTTCCAATCAGTCTGCAAATATGAATTATAGTCATGTCACAGTAGCACACATGCATGCATAATCATCCACGACGATAACCAAGTTGTAATATAATCTCTCTGGACAGAAATTAACTTTATATTAAGACAAGAAAAAAATTGACACGTCCATTAACGTCATTTTCAAGGTTACTTTCTATTGGAAAACAAAATTCTAACTTGAATAGAGTTACGGACAAATTAGAATAGCTTATGTTGAAGATACAATTAAATAAAATAAAAGGTTTCCCTTTAACAACTTAACTTCTTAGATGAGATGATCACACATTTTATTATGACATTATCAATTTAAACTTTTACAATTCTACTACTTTAGATATTATACTTTGTAACAACTCCTTTATCCAAATCTTGTATAATAATTTTCGGGTTACTTATCCATGTTCAATGTAAACTGTTACTTGTAATTACTTTTTTAGTTACATATTTATAATATTCTTTTTATTTCTTTAACTTAAATAACTTTTTATACTATTAGATCACCTAAATAAGTAGAGTTAATAACTTGAAAAATAATAAGGTAACCAACTATAACATGTTAAATTATAGTATGAATATTCTATACACTATCGATGTATATCATATAGCGAATCCAAGATTTCGAGAAGATGTATGCACCATTACGAAATGTTAGATCTAATATTTAAATTTGAGGGTTTCAATCTTTAGGTTCTTAATTACCACTAAATTTGAAGGGTTAAATTTTTTAAAAAATAAACCAGATAAAGAAAGAAAAAAATTACTTGAAACGCAACTAAGGTACACTAGATATGCTCATTTCCAATATCCAATAGGTGGGCCTAAATGTAGAAAAAAAGAGAGTAAGAAATAGCTAATCAAACATAAGATTTGAACCTCCGGCCTTACTTATAGAGGTACACTTTGTGATTATACCATCATATAATTTGGGTTCACACATACATAGTTAAGTATTTTTTGAGAAATATAACATTGCTATATATAATTTAGGAAGGTAAGTACGTTTGAAGAAATATAACATCGCTATATATAATTTACGGAGGAAAGCATAAGTGTACGTGCACTCATGCCTCTCACATATATTTGCCACTGTGTATATCAGTTAAATCTTTTTTTGTTACACTGCGAGTATATAAATTTCTTACACTAATTATGTATATAACTTTGAACTCTATAAATCGTATATTTACTATATATACTGAAAATATATATAACCTAAACTGTATAATAAAATGTGAAGTATATCTATACCTTAGAGGCGTGTCTTGCCGGAGAAGTTGAAACTTTTCCAGCTTCCAAGTTGAGGGAGTCTACACGGTGTAACTTCGCCCATGAGACTTTCCGATCTTTGAGCTGACCGTTTTCTGCAGCCTCTTCTCTATCTGAGCTTGCCATTTAGATTCACACGGGCTTTCACTTCAGTCTTCTCTTTCCTTTACCAGTACCTACCCTAGATCTTTATAGTCCCTCTATACATTGAATATTAGCCCCATTCCCAATCGTCTTTCATATTTTAATTGTACTTGCATCAATTATTATAATATATTTAATACAGCTCATAATTTGTTTATATAGCTCGCTCGCTTTGAGTAAATATAGGTTTTGTTGTCCCCATCCCAAGTATTTGTAAAGACTTCTTCGATCATTCCTATGTATGTACATACATGCAAATAAATGTACTAGGTTCTAATTACATATTTGTGGGGCCACTGGAATTTCAAGGGATTCCACAATACTAATGTAAGAATGACACACTAAGATTCAAATTTATGTCCTCAAAATAATTTTGAGTCCTATATTTTAAAACTTTTATTAGTATGTCAAGAGGATTCAAAAGTTTATATTTACAAAAAAAATTATTTTTATTCTATCAATGCAATATATTTTTCCCACAAAAGAGATTCAATTATGCTACTCCACTAAACTTAGCTTCTAATATTTTCGACACAAAAACATGTCTGTGGAACGTCACGTATATACTACGATAATTAATAAATAAAGATCCGTAAAATAAATTAAATATGTATGTTGAAAATAGATTTATTGCTTTCATTATATGAAATAATAAAATATTTATTGCATTCCTAATATCACTATACAATGAAAAAAAAAAGCGAAATTAATTAACTAAGAAGGTCAAACAAATAATAAAATTTCAAATACAATCTTATTCGACATGAAATGCACTTTTGAAGGATAAACTATTAAATTTTGAACTTATTATCTTTAAAAAGAACTATTAAACTTTAGGTAAATGATGCTGAATCCAACAAGTTTAAATGGTGGATCAATCCTGCTCCCTTCTAATTACATTCCCTTTCTTTATAGGCATCTTTCTTAATCATTTCATGATGTGCCTTAAACACATGTATGGGGTATCATTATTGTGGTTTTATATGTCTGGTCATTGAATTCTTCAAGGAAATCAATTGTTATATCACGGTAAGCACTAAAATCAAATAATTTCTTTGTCTCTCTCGATCTTGCTGTTCTAAAATATTGCAAGAATTAAAGGCCAAAGACTTCTTTTGGCATACATTATTCTCGCAATCACTAAGAAAACGAGATCGTTCACGTTAGCTAGATAGAGATATTTTCGGGAAAAGTTATGGCAATTGACCACAGCAAAGAGGACATTATAATGAAAGAAAATAAACACATCTAACTAGTGCTTTGCCAAGAAACCAAAAGGATACAACAGTAGTCACTACTTCCTGTTTAAAAAAAAAGAAATCTATTATTGTTTGAGAAAATAAATTAGATTTTCTTTGATCATGTTCTTTGTAAATAATTTTTAAATATTTTAAATTATTAAATATTGTGACTTATAGTATTTTTATATAGTTTTTAAGCATATAAATTTTATTGCAAAAAAAAACTTAAAAGAATTTATATACAGATTCACACTAAAAATTAGTCAATTTGACCCTCGTACTCCGAAAAAATTTAAACAAATTAGGGGAGTATCTAATTAGTACCCTCTTCATAACAGACAAAAATTTAAACAAATTAGGGGAGTATCTAATTAGTACCCTCTTCATAACAGACAAGCGTAGTGATTATACACATAGAGTAGGTGTTTACTAGTCCACTGGTTACGTAGTATAACACATTTAGGTTGAATTAACACTTTTAAATTCACAGTGACAGCATGTGCATATATTTAAGTAGGTATTCGATATGGTATATGATTTGATTTTTAAATTTTAATATTTTATGATATTCAGTGTTTAGAGAAAAATATCAAATACTGTACTGAATACATATTTATGTTCATAATAAAAAATGTTAGCTTATAACATAAATATTCTGCTTGAAATTTTGAGAAGCTTGCTAGTGTGAAGTAACTATACAAACATTGACTACATATCTTCTTTTTGGTATTTCTAATTAATCAAGTTAAAAAATTTATAGCATGTTCTACGTGCAGTAGTGCATTTGTTCCCTTTTTGGTGAAAGAAAAATGGCAATTGGGTCATAATATAAGCTACAAATACATTGTAGTGACATTTGGTTTTTTATTTCTATCCTATTTCATAACGTTCGTAACTTGTTGAGATGAGATTAATTTGTTTTTATGATTAACAAACGTTTATATAAAAGAACAAGGGCGGAGGTAGGGTATATGTTTACGGATTCGACTAAATCCATTATCTTTTGCATAGATTCTGTACTTATATTAGAAAATCTATTAAATTTGTATTAATATAAAATTGTGAACCCAATAGCTAAAATGTACTTTGGGTTCGGTGTCATGTTCAGAATCCACAAAATTCCAAACCTTCGCTCCGCCTCTGCAAAAGAACCAAGTTGTCGGAAGTCTGTTGATTAAAAGATGAAGATTGTTTCCTAGTGCAAGAAATATAAAGTAATTTGTGTTCAACGTGAATTTATTAATTATGGGAAACTTGCATGGATCGAAAGATGCATAAAGGAGTCTCTTAAGGAACTAAAATAGAATCTTTTTCGGATTTGTCTTCTACAAGAGGTGATAGATCTATTTTAGATCTTCAAGCTAAAAGTAAAAAAGAATTTGGTCAACCTCACTCATATATAAAGCATCATATTGCTGCTATTGAGGACTTACACTATTCACACAGTTTCAAGAAATTACTCTAAGGCAAATAGTAATTCATAGTAAAAGGTGCTTTCAAACATTCAAGCTGCTCAACTGAATGTCACGACCCAAAACATAGTCTTTCGTGATGGCACTCAACATGGTACAAAGCAAGCCGACACCTCAAACAATTCCAACACTTTTAAATGAAAAAAAGAACTAACATGTTTAAATAATTAAAGCTCTCATAAACTGAATGGAAGATCAAAACTCAATACGGAAATTCCCAAAACCAGGGCGTCATTGAGTACATGAACGTCTATACAACAAAAGTCTGAAATACTATCTATAAAAAATTGAAACTAAATACATAAAGCAAAAAGATAGGGAAGGAGATTCAAGGTCTGCGGACGCCGGTCAACTACCTCAAAATCTTCGAATAACTAAGCTGCACAGATAATCAGCACCCAGCGTGTCCGAAAACACCTAGATCTGCACACGAAGTGCAGGGTTTAATGTGAGTACAACCAACGCATTAAGTAACAAATCTAACCTTTGGACTGAGAGAAGTGACGAGATTAAGTAATACAGTCCACATGCAGTATTAAAGTACGAAAACTTACAACAAATATGACACTGATATCTCAGAAATTTATAATCTACAAGTAAATGTATAAGAATTTAGACATGCTTTCAGGTTTTGCAATAAAATTCAACACAGTACAGGGCAGATCCAGCCCAAAATGCAAATAAACCAGGGCAGATCCAACTCCAAAGTAAATAACTGCTAGCATTACGCCCACTGTGGATGTGCAGACTCCGGAGGGGCCGATCCAGTCCAAGCGCTATAATAAGCCAAATCGTGGCATGAATCAATAAAACCTACTGCAGCATGCAGCCCGATCCCATGAATATCACTTATAAAAGGCCCTCAGTCTCACTCAGTCATTAATCTCTCCAGTCTCTCGAGCTCACCAGAATCATGATAATCAACCCAAACAATGATGATATGGCATATCAAATAAAGGACAACAGAGACTAAAACATATAAGCAAATAGTAGTTGTGACTAAGTATAAAATGGCAAGTTAAGCAAATAGTTCAACATGTAACACAACCTCTGTGAGTCCCAACAATACTAAAATGTAGCCTAAGTAGGATTTCTAACATGACTGCAACTCAATTACTCTAACACATGGTGGAAATACGGGTAACAGTAAGATTATTCAACTGTACAATTCCATGGAATCGACCAAGTCACAATTCTTACGGTTCATGCCCACACGCCCGTCACCTAGCATGTGCGTCACATCAATAACAATCACATAATACGTAATTTGGGGTTTCATACCCTAAGAACCAAGTTTAGAAGTGTCACTTACCTCAAATTGTACAAATCTCTACTCCAACAAGCCATTGCCTCGCGAAACGGGCTCTGAATGTCTCGAATCTAGCCACAAATAATTCGATACAATCAACACGAACTAAAGAAATCAATTTCATGAAAAAATATTAAGTTCTTAATCAAAAGTCAACTCAAAAGCCGGCACCCATGCCACGTCTTGAAATCCGATAAAAGTTACAAAATTCGGAAGCCCATTCAACCACGAGTACTACCACACCAAATTTACTAAAATCCGACACCAAATCGTCACTCAAATCCCCAAATTAAACTCTCTAAATCCCTAGCCTCAAACTCCTAAATTCCACCTACAAAAATAACTTGGTGGGAAATTCAATGAGGAAACATAATTATTGAATACAAATAACGACAAATGACTTATCTCAAGAATCCCTTCGAAATCCCTCTCAAATATCGACTAAAACCAAGCTTGAAATGTCCAAAATGATGAAAATCACTGAACCCTCGATTTTAATACACTGCCCAAAGATCCCGCTTCTACGGCCCAAAAATTTGCTTCTGTGGTACCACTATTGCGGTCAATAACCCGTATATGCGGAGGTCACTTAAGGGTCGAACAACTGCTTTTACGGTCCCAAATCCCGCGTGCGTATCTGCGCGAGTCCTTCCGCTTCTGTGGACTAGCGACTCCAAGCCCCTCTCCGCTTCAACGACCAGCCTCCGCATCTGCGAGATCGCAGGTGCAGAATTTTCCCTCGCACCTGCGCAAACCGTCACTTCGCCCAGAACCGCATCTGCGACCCCAAGGCCGCTTATGCGGCTCTGCACCTGTGGCCATTCCCTCGCAAGTGCGGTCGCACCAGACCAGACACACCAGCATTCAAAAGTTCCATAAATCCAATCCGATTTCAAGCCGAATCACTCCCGAGGCTCCCGAGACCTCAACGAAACACACTAACAAGTCCTAAAACACAATGCGAACTTAGTCGAACCTTTAAATCACTTCAAACAATGCTAAAA